TAATCATCCTAGTGTGACTGGGAGAAAAGTTAAAGGTTGGGTTGGGCAGATAAGCTTTCAACCTTGATTGACCGGTATAGGGATTTAGATCCTATTGTGACGGGATGAGGTCACAGAAGACCCCTTCGAGGTGCCTCCAGGACTTTGAGTTACATGTATTAATGTCCATAAGTCCATGTCACAAAGCATAGGGGGAGGGGTGAACCGTCACACCTATGTCTGAAAAATCCCCATCTGTATCTTGAAGACTTGTTGATATTAGCCCTGAATTGAGCCTTAGTGTTTCCAAAGAAGGTTTGAGGAACAAGTCCACCCCCTTTGAAAGTCTCGTTCCCATGGACCTTAAAGGGTTCTGCATCTGGCTGCCCATCCTCTGTGGCTGATGACTTCTCCTACAACAAAACAAATGAACAAAAAAATTACCAACTGATTAGGAACTTTAGAGTTTCAAGTGTTCAGAAAACGTAGTTTTATCTTGTTTTCCTTATTCATTTTTTTTTTTTTTTGCAAAATCACTTTTCAAATGCTTGAGATTGAACCATTAGAACTTCCTTACCCATGTTTATTAGATTAACCATTCATGGTTCCAACCCTAGAAAAATGTTCCGAGAGTCTCCACTGAAACAAAAGCAGGGATTATTAAGGTTGTAGAAGGTTTAATTTTTTTTTGCTTGTGGATATTTTCAAAGTGCTTCTTAAATTATTGGTTCAGAATATTGTCAATAAACTGAAAGCTCTCAATCTGAAAAAAAATGTTAGTTTTCAATGAGCTCTGGATTGAATTATTCATTGACTACGTCACCCTTTCAGAAATCCACTTTCCTGGCAGAAAATGAAACCAAGAGTCAATTGTACAGCTGACCCACTCAAAAGACGTATTCAACTGTGATATAATAGGTTGTATTGGTTCAGAATATTGTCAATAAACTGAAAGCTCTCAATCTGAAAAAAAATGTTAGTTTTCAATGAGCTCTGGATTGAATTATTCATTGACTACGTCACCCTTTCAGAAATCCACTTTCCTGGCAGAAAATGAAACCAAGAGTCAATTGTACAGCTGACCCACTCAAAAGACGTATTCAACTGTGATATAATAGGTTG